CGCATCCGCTTTGTCAAGCTGCTGGCTGACTTCGGCCTCGAAGCCGTCATAAGGTTCAGAGGAGGAGGGTCTCTGGTGTTCCGGGCTTTCAACCGGTGACTCAGAGGGTTGAGTATTTATTGCAAAAACCGTTAGACACTGACCGCCGTCAGTATCTAAGGTTGCACTGCAAATGGGTTCCTCAGGAAGGGCTTCATGCCGCTTGATGGTAATCATTTGTGAAGGGAAAGTACTGAATGTGTCTGCACCAACCTGTCTGTCGTTCAAGAACAACGGAAGTTGTCCGATCACGGGGACTGAAAGTTCGAAGTCATGGAATGAGCTATCTATCAGCATGCCCAAGGGCTTTCCTGCCGGCAGGTGGATAGGACTCTGGGTCGGATTTTCGACCAACAAGTACGCAGAACGATTGTTCAGCTCCAAGAGTGGCGTGCCACAGACGGCTAAGTTGAGCTCCAAGAAGTGTGGTGATGGCTGGAAGAAGGCCTGTGTGCCTGGCAGCTTCTGATGCTTCATCAGAGTCAGACGAACGGGCACTCCTTTGACCTGTGGGGGCAGAACCGTGCTGGCCTCAACCACTGCACGGCAGGCCTGTGGAATGGTCTGACCGGACAGCAAGTGTTCAGGGCCTTCTGAGCCAGGCTCAGAGGATGGTGTGGCCCGGGCCCAAAGGACTTGATTGCAAGTGTCCAGCTGGGCACCGAGTCGAACCAGCAGATCTGCTCCGATGAGTGCAGGTGGATCAAGCTGTGGTATGATGCTGAATGTATGTGTGAGCTGTCTTGCTCCAAGCTGGATAGTCAGAGAGCAGACCTCTGGCGCTTTCAGGAGCCTCTGCGGCCAAGTAGGTGACAAGAGCCGATGGCTACGTGTCACACTGACCAGAAGGGGGTCCTTCTGACGCAGGTGTTCAAACATCTGCTGGCTGATGGCTGACTTTTCCGACCAAAGAGCAAGGCGAGCATCTGAGATGTGGGTGCAGTTGATGGTAAGACCACCAACTATGTGTGGTGCATATGGCTGCAGGCTGACGTTCTTCAGCGAGCAGAGAAAAGATGAATGTGTGCAGAGAGGAGTTCCAGGAGCGGTTTCGTGCCTTTGCAGGCGGACATCGTCTGTGGGAGCCGTAGGAAGGGGCATGACCTTGGAACAAGGGTTTTGCGGCTCACTTATGCTGACTTCAAGAATGGAGGATGGTCGGCTGCTATCTGGGTTCCAGGGCTTAGGTGTGTCCACCTGGGCCCACAGTTGACCCTTCTGGCAGTCGATGAGGGGAGCTAGACGTTCAAGCAGGTCCTGACCAACGAGAAGTGGTTCAGTGTCTAGCTGGCAGACATAAAACGGGTGAACCAGAGCCATGTCTTGGAAGGTGATGTCCAGCCACGCCCGGTGAGTGATACACTCCCGGGTCTGGGTGTAGCTGGTGATTTTCAGGTCACAGGGTTCTACCTGGACTGGTTTCCCGAGCGACCGCATGGTGTCAGACACGCGATGGAACAATGTGGAGCACATCAGGGTGATTTCTGAGCCGGTATCCAGCAGAGCATCAACTTGTATGCATCCACCTAGATTGGTGCTACAGTACAAACGGCGAGCATGATCATGGTTTGTTAAGTCACCAAGGAACTTCAGAAATTTAGTATCTGGTTTCTCTGGGGGGTAGATTTCAGGAGACTCCTGTGGTCTACCAGTAGTGTTTCCCCAACTGATCAGGTAAGTCCTGGCCACGCTGGGGGGTTGAGCCACGCCTAGTCATGCGGACGTTGGCTCTGAGTCTGGCTTCTTAGAAGCAGACTTTGGTTCAGGGGTCTCATCTGCAGATCTCAGCTGTTCCTTCTGTTTAGCTAGGAACTGCTGAAACATCTCCTGGAGGTCGGCTTTGGTCAAGTACTCACCTGCGGACTTGTGTTCGGGACCTACCTGTGGGCGGCGCTCCTTAAACCTTCCACTGTTCCGACCTGCCTGCCGTTGGTTTTGGTTGGGCCACTTCCTGTCTGATTGTCCAGACCTAGGTGGCCAATCAGCACCCCCCTTCCCCTGTTGAGGAGATTGGGACTGCTCTCGCGGTTTAGCAGGTCTAGGTTTAGCAGATTTTGGCTTAGTGGGTGGAGCTTCTGTGCCTTCAAGCTCCAAACGCGGCTCGGTGTCGGGAGTTAGGTGCATGACGCGGTGATGTGCGTCAGGCTTTTGGGGCTTTCCGCCGGCTTCCCAAGCCTGTTGAGCGTATCTCCTAATCTCCTGAGTTGTCAGTTTTTTCATCCGACAATACATTGAGACTTCGGAGCGAACACACTCGTGCAGGTTGTGAATGAACAGGGATCTGAAGGCAGGGTCTTCCTCGAGCCCAGGGCCGTTTCGACCTTGGAAATAAGCACTTTTGAGTCGGCGATAATACTCTCTGGGGGGTTCGTTCCTCCCGTGTTTGATGGAGAAGGCCCCCATTGTAGCTGACGCAGAGTCTGCATACGTGGCGTATTCATCTCTCAACGCTCGGCAGAGCGAGGAGTACCGATCACGAATGTCAGGTGGTAGAGTTTCCATGAAACCGTGCACCGTTCTAGATGTGGTTTTCCAAATTAGCTTGAGCTTTTCCCTTGAAGAGGGTGCTGGAAGATCAAGCAGACAACGTTCTATCTCCCTGAGATAATCGTCGACGTTGGATTCATTGGTGTTAGGATCAAAGCGTTCTATGTCTTTAGCTAGCGATTCAATTTGACGTACACGGAGCCCTGACTCACGGTACGGCGCGTCATCCTCTGACTCTGACCCACGGTCTGTCTCAGAGGGCGCTGGATATCGCTGGTGTGCTCTGGGCTCCCAATGTTGACTCCTGGGGCCCAAATCGGGGTCCGGCATGTTGTGGCGGGCTGCTGGCACGTCACGTGGGTGTCCTGGGAGATCCTCCTCCCGGGCACGTCTGCGTAGTGCAGCCTGCGTCTTTCAACTGGGGCATCTGCGTAATACGCTTTGTCCGGGTACGGACTGGCGTATGATGCTTTGTCCTGCAGCTGGTTATCGGCATGCCGAATACCGGAGTAGCTAGGATGGGTGGATGGTGGAGGTGCAGCTTGGGGTGCATAACCCCAATCGGCACCTTGCACCCTTCGTGGACTGGGGGAGCGGTCTAAATAGAGGTGCCGCTCAGCTGGTCGACTTCTCACTGATTGAGAAGGCCGTGAAGATGAGGGTGGTGGTCCAACCTGGGGTTCGAGGGCGAACTGCCCTCGGCCCCTAGATGGTCCTGAATGCCCTATAGTGTGTGTAGGGAACGGGGCCGAAGGTTGGGACAGATAAGCTTCATCTCTCCCCTGCGGCGTGCGTCCGTCCAGAGAGTCCCACACCACATACTGTTGATTATCGTATGGAGCCGTATCAGGAGGTAGCCTACCTTTACGGCGGGACGGCGGTCCCTCGCTACCTTGGGTGGAGGGAACCAATTGGTCTTTGGCGATCGTCCTGGGCGGACCCTGGTTGGCTTTGCCGGCTTGCTTTCGTACCGGTGTGGGAGAGCACTCTGGCTCAGCCTCAGAGTCACGGTGTTCCCCCCCTTCCCACTGTCTGTTGTCATCAGCAGAAGGGGGCGGGGTCTTCTCCCCATCTTCCCCAGAATCGGTGCTGGCTTCCTCCTCGTCATCCTTCTGCCTTCCATTTTGCTGCCTTTCAGCTAGCATGCTCTGGAGCTTCATGATCTCTCGATCATGTTGGAGTTCTCTCTGATAGAGGATCAAGGCTAACTTAGCTAAGTGAACCTGGATTGGTTTTGTACCATCCGGGTTTTCTATTTGATCAATTACAGCTTCTAGCTCGTCGCTACGCTGTTCTTCAGTGAAATCCCTAGAAGGGTAGTCGGGTTCTCGAGCAACCGCGACCAGTTTGGACAATATTTGTCCAGAAAGTAGGCCAGGTTCATAGTCGTGGGCCGCAGCGCCACCTGGTTGCCGGGAGTTGGTCAGTTCACTACTCTGTCCCTCCATTTTAACAACCGAACCAAAAATAGCCTAGTAGAGCTTCTGCAGATAGCTCAAGCTGCACCTTTTGGGCAGCAACTGCTAGCTTTGTAGCAGAAAAACACTAAATTAACCTTTGTGCGCACAGGTTTTAGCGTTTTAAGATTGCACGGAATGCCGTGACTGATGCTTAAAATACTATTCCTTTCAGTATTTTAGCAAAAGCTGGTGCGTTGCCGTAGCAACGTCTTACAACACTTGCAGTGTTAAATATGCTAGTTATTCCTTCAGAATATTAGCAAACAAGGTGTTATCAGTCTTTGAGTGAAGGTTTCAGTTAGTTACAATAGCCACTGTGAGTTAAAGTCGCTAAATTAGCAGTTAATTTTAGCCTAAAAGGGTTAGTCAGAATTACTTACACGCTGCACCTTTAATGAGGAACTGAATTTTAACCTAAAAGGTTAGCCAGAATTAATTACACGTTGCACCTTTAAGGAAAAACTGAATTTTAACCTAAAAGGTTAGCCAGAATTAATTACACGTTGCACCTTTAAGGAAAAGCTGAATTTTAACCTAAAAGGTTAACCAGAATTAATTTACACGTTGCACCTTTAAAGAAGCACTGAGTTACTGGTGAGAGTTCGATGCAGCTTCCTGCTCAGCGAAATCAGCACCACTCTGTTGCTGGTTCAAGGCTGAACAACGGATTATTTTTAATTCAAGCTCTTTGGATTTATTTGTTTGTTTGTGCCGGATAGAAATCTCTGTGTATCCAAGCCTCACGCGGGCTGCACCAATAAAATGTTGGGGTTATTAGGAGCGAACAATTAGTAAGCTTCAACTTACTTTTGGATTCTTCAATAAATTCTGTAAATATGGGAATATTTACTGATTTATTAATTAATTAAGATATTCTTAGATATACGGGGCACCATTCCCCTTTTTCCGGGGAAAAATTGAATCCAAAACTCTTATCAGTCTTTCTTGAAGTTCGTAGAATCCTTGGAGCAGAGACTTCTCTTCGACACAACAAAGCTACTGGACACAAAAATCTGAATTTTATAACATTTAATTAACAATTTGTCAAATGAATAAACAGTGGAATAGATGAATAATAACCGTGTGATATGATTGAAGATGGATGTGTTTGCATGTGATGGAGGATGTATGAATGGGGTCCTTTGTTCTCACAAAGGAGTAGTGTGTATGTGTGTGTGTGTGTGTGTGTGTGTGTGCGTGTGTATGGATTCAAAATGGAGTCTTGAATACAAGATGGCTGACCCCTTTGTCTGGCTAAAGTGTGGGTGGCAACTTGCACTTTAACTTCCAAAGCACTTAGAATCAGTAGTAACTTAACCTTAAATCACTCAAAACATTTCAAAAGATCATGAAACAACACAAAAGATTAATCACAAATTAATATCTTTTAGTTTCAGCCTGGCCATGACAGAAACCATTTTAAGATACCAAACAATGATCAATAAGCAGTTTATTCTTCAAAATGACCCGACGGACGTGTTTGGGACGAAAGAGGAAAACACGAAGCTACTTTTTAAGCAATAGACGCGGTTTATTGCTTATTTGAGACTATAGAGGAAACGGGAGAAGGAAAGAATGAGAGAAAGAGATGAGTTTCTGATCACCAGAACAGTGAAGCGTCCCTCACTGTTTTGATTTGACGGTTCTCCGTGTTTCTCCGCAGTTTGGCGTCGTCCGTTGGTTTGATGCTTTCTCCGTTGTTTGGCTCCACGAGTGTTTCTCCACGGCTGGACACAAAGAAAACGAAGTTCCTTTTGGGCTGAGTTTGACAACTTACAGCGTTTCTGAGAGCTGGATGGAGTTGTTGTTTCCCTCCGCGGGTTCTGTGTCCTCAAACATCAGCTGGAGGGGAGCAGAAACGAGCAGATCAGCGGTCCCGTGGGCTCAACTTGGCTCTTAGAGCTTCCGCGTGCTCAAAGAAGTCGGAGCGTTCGACAAGCGTGTCCTCACCGCCAGGTATCCTGGGCAAAAGAACGAGGTTTCTTTGTCTCTGCTGAAGATTTATGGTCTTAGTTCGCGGGAAAAGCTCCACGGCTTCCCGCACATGCGCAGAACGTGTTTCTGGTACTAGGCGGTGACGTCATCACAATGCTTCCGTGTGCAAAGCATCATGGGAAATGAAGTTTCTTGGCGCTGATGTGATTATTTGCTTTTCAGAGCAATTTAAGCACAGTCATTTTGGGGAAAATCACTGCATAGTAATTTCCTCATGAGGTCAGACCCTCAACAACAGGGATGGAGCACAATGTTTACACCTGAACAGTATCAGGATGCTTTAACTCACAGAGACCTGCAGGTCTTCTGTTTTATGAGCAAAGTGCTAATAATCCGCATGTTAGGAGCGCTAAACGTTATTTTGCCGCTTCCGTGCGGAGCGGTAGAGAAACACAATTCAAACACGGAACACCGGCTACCGAACTGAGCAGAATTCTGATGACGTCACACCGGTGCGCGAAGGTGCGGGATCCAACACACAGGAGAGGAGAGAGAGAGAGAATGTAAACAGCGAGTTGAGGAACTGAACCGATGTCTTTGAGCAAAAGTGTACACCCACACACCCCCCACAGTTTAAACGTGGCGCTCATGCAGGTGTCTCTTTCCGTTCCGACGCTACACGTAATATTTTCAATTTATTAAGCCTATAATTTATTTTTACTCAGTAACGGATATGATTTAAAATGTAGCGAATTACAATTCTTTTTTAAAAACTTACTCAAGTAAAAGTAAAAGTACAGCTTTTAAAAACGACTTAAAAAGTATAAATATACAAAAAAGCTACTCAATTACAGTAACGTGAGTAAATGTAATTTGTTACTTTCCACCTCTGCCTGCGAGCTACACATGCAAGGAAATCTGTCCGACTTAAACGCCGGCTTTCAGCCACTCCCCCTGCTGCGTCCGTCTGCTCTCATCTGTTTTCCAGGCGAGGCGCAGCTCAACTCAAACACGGCCAATGTCTCCTTCCTGGAAACAGCTGCTCTTTTATACATGGATTGCAGATTTGACCATGGGACGTCATTAATACTTCATGCACTTTTAAGGCCCTTACACTTAATTGGCTTGCTAGGTTTTGTTTTTTTCTGTATAAAGCTGTTTTCATGTTGTTTTGTTTTGTTGTTCATGTGTTCTACAAAGGTCTGAAAAAGGCCAAAAAATGTGCTTCAGTCTGAGGAAAGTTACCGATTGCAGATGAAAACCCATGCTAGCACAAGGGCTAAATTAAGTTTTTTCAAACCACCAAAAATGATGCTAATATATTTTTACATGCAATACATTTAAATGACATGACTTGTGTATGTGTAAATGAGCTGTTTAAACTCAGCTTTAAGATAACAAAGTTTTGAAGGCTGCAGACCTTCTCACCTATCTGCTCACGTCATCAACCCGGAGTGATTGTCAGACACCGAGCCTCCAGCAGGCTGCTTACCTTCTCTAAGGATCTGAACAGAAACAAAAACCAGTCCCAGCTGACTTTTAAACAGTTGACCTCACTGGGGTCATCACACTGATTTCCGTCGCTTTCCAAACACATTATTGATGAGTTTAGCCATGGACTTGGAGCCGCTGTAGCGTCGCCGGTCAGCCCGGTACTTCAGGTGCTCCATCACCTGGCGGATGAGCTGAGTGAAAAGGTTGGCGATGTCCTGATAGCCTTCAGCTGCAGAAACCTCCTGGAAGCTGCAGCGGTTCTCCTGTGCCAGGCAGCGGCCCTCCTCCTCTCTCACCCCTCGGGCGTAACACAGGTCCTGCTTGTTGCCCACCAGACACACAGGGACCTCCATGTCCCTGAAACAGGAAGAATCTTTTTAAAAAATGTTCCCAGTTTGCTGAGATGATTCCTTCTCAGGAATCATTCAGAACAATTCAACAAAATCTGCAACAACGTGCCTGTTCTTTCTGAGTTTAAAGCAGATGTTTTAAAGTGTCACAACATCTAAATAAATCAGGATGTGTTATCAGAAGCAGGAGTTACGGGTCTCTTTTTACTCCCTAAACACACGGAACGCCTCCTCCCTCTGCTGGCAGGAGGCCTTGGCACAGACAGAACATTGTGATGGATGGATGGCCTTTTTTTCAGCACATCAAATTCTGTAGATGCTGCATGTTTGCAGCAAACCCCTCACTCATCATGGTGAATCGTTAATCAGGAGGCACAGCCGGGACTCCCAGCATTCTTCAAAATCAAACCTGCGCAAAGATCCTCATTCAGCTTCAAAGAAACGAGGTCACTCTGTTGTCTTCAGCCTCCCTGCCCTGTGTCCGTGTGTCTGGGTGGGTGCTGCTTTGTAGGAAATTCCAAACATGCTTTTACTTTTATTGTTCAAACATTCTCCTACAAACTAAACCTGGTAGTTGTAATTAATAATAACAACAGTTAAGGGCCTTTTCATTTGAAGCTGTTATTAAAAGTTAAATGTGATCTTTCTGCACTGAAGGGAAAAACAAAGTAACTAAAACCTGCACAAAACAGAAAATACAACCACGTTTTATAAAACACATGCACACACACTCACACACACAAGAGTGGTGATTTGTGGAATGTTTTTGAGTTTGCTGTAATTTGGGGATTTTAATGTGTGTGCATCATGGTGACCCGCTTCCTGACTGTGGCCTTTCTGTATGCAGCATAGTTAGCATGTTTTCCTCATGCATGTGGGTTTCCCCGGGCATTGCAGTTCTCACACAGACCAAAAACATGCATGTTGGGTTAATTGAAGACATTAAATTGTCCCTAGTTGTGAGAGTATGGGTATTTTTGAGTGTCCCCTGACACAGAGCCTCACTTCAGAAAAAACCCAAACCCCCTCTTTAGGAACGACCCACGCTACTGGCTCAGCCCGCTAAATGCTTCTGCTGCTGACCCTTTACAATTGTCCATGCGAGCCTCCCGGATTTGCAGCAGGATGTTTTTGGCGTTGATGAAAGACGTGCGGTCGTTGATGTTGTAAACCACAACAAATCCATCCGCCCAGTCCACCGGCTCCTCCAGTATACACCTGGTCTCAGAGCTCTGCCAAGAGACAGACACAGGCTTTATGGAAACCTACTCACTGAAGTGTTTTAACCCACAGATGTGAGACAGTTTCATGGTTCTGCAGAATATTTAATGAAATTCAACACTCTAATGATAAAGAGTTGTTGCTAAATATGTAGAAAAACAAATAATAAATAAGGATTTGCTGCAGCCTGTTTGATCGCATGCAAACAACAAACTCTGACATGGTGGAAACCCTTTCAAAAGAGAACTCAGTCACTTCCTGTAACACGTGCAAAATAAAACTGTACACACAGTTTGGACCTGAAGGAGCAATAATAATAAAAAGCAAGAGAACGTGCCTGAGTGCTGTAAATACCAGTCTAAACCTGTTCTCTTTATTAACTGCAGTTATTTTGGTCAGAAATCCAGAATATGAACTCATATGGGTTAGAGTGAGTCCAACTGGCAAAGACAAGGACCAGTTCGTGTTCTGCTGAGCCTAGAGGCATTCCAGTTAATGGCCAACTCTAGTAAAAGTTGTCTCAAGTCTTTTGTGTTATTGGAAGAGAAGAAAGTAAAGTTGTGCTCCTCTTGTCTTCAAAGAAATAAGCCTTCAGCATAAATCACCCGGGGATACTCTCGTAAACTCTCTGGATTTCCAACTTAAGAGCACCGGAGACAGAACATGTGCCAGAACATGTAAGAGCCACGGCTAAAGGTCAAGGACATGTGCAGCTTCCCCTGCAGCTGGAACACCAGACAGATGGAATCAAACTCTCAACAGACTTTTTAAATCCACTCTAACATATTAAAGTGTGTGATGACGAGTCATGATCTAATCTTTAGTTACTGACCAAACATTTGATTTCTGCTGCTTTAATGACTTTTTACAGACACTAATATCATTTTTGTTTTGGTGAAAATGCCTCCAACTGCAGCAAAAGTTACTAAAGCATTTCTATAATGGTTATTCTCTCTGGATGTGATGTCCTGTACCTGAGAGCAGGGGTCAAACACCTCCAGATTCAGCTGCCTGCCATCTATGGAGAGTCTTTTATGGTACAGCGAGTCTGTAAATCAAACCAGGTTAAATATTAGGAATGATTGGCTTCAACGTCTATTTTAGAGCTTATTTCTTAAAGAGCAAGTCACCCCCAAATCAACTTTTTTGCTTATAAACTATATAAACGAGTGTCTAATTGTGCTGTAGACAAGTGTAGTCAATAGTTTTGCACTTTAGTGCATCTTAAACAAAATGTAAATATTCTGCCTAAAACTGTCAGTGTTGTGCCGTCTTCAGGTAAAAACTCTGCACTGCATTTGAATTTAAATCTGCCATCGCTATTGGCTAAGAGATACCCTATGATGTTAGCTGGTACCATATGATGCCACAATGTCACTGTGAGCTTGTGTGTGTGTGTGTGTGTGTGTGTGTGTGTGTGTGTGTGTGTGTGTGTGTGTGTGTGTGTGTGTGTGCGTGTGTGTGTGTGTGTGTGTGTGTGCGTGCGTGCGTGTGTGTGTGTGTGTGTGGCTCTGCCCTCTCCTCCTTTTGGCACTCTGGAAATGGGAGTGGAGTAAGTCTCTGGTAGGGGGTGACTTGCTCTTTTAGTTGTTTGTTTATTTGATGTTTAGATTTAGATTTATAATAAAGCAGTTAACCCATCAAATAAAAGAGCGTTATTGTCTTTTGAAGACACGGATTGTGTGGGTTTGTTTTAAAAGCAATAATTTAATGCATCATTTTTTTTTTCAGATTTAAAATAATCTAACTAAAATAAGAATTTGGGCAAGATAAACTCTTACAGCTGGGGCCAAACAAGACACACTTATTACCATGTGTGTCATGGTCTGAGGTATTTCCCTGCTATCACTCCCTGTCTTTTGAGTTTTCCCTCCGCAGGTGGGCGTGTCTGGAGGTGACCAAGCTGCAGCAGATCTGCTCATCAGCTGGCCAGGGGTATTTAAGCAGCTGGGAGACTCCTACACTTTGCTGGATGATTACTCTACCTGGGTACCTTCTAACATCCACTTGTGTAACCTATTCGAGTTCTTTAACCTCTTGAGACTTAGATTTGTTTTTGGATTTTAGGTTTTGAGATTTGATGTGTTTTTGGAAATTGGATTTTTGCCTTTTGACCTCCTGCTCTTGTCACCAGATCAAACATCCACCTTCATCCCCGACTGGCTATTCTCTGGAACTCCTACCCATTTGTCTCTCAGCTTCTCCCTGGCCAGAACCACCTCCAGCTGCCCACCTAAGCTCCCTGGATCTCAGCAAACTCAGCTCCCTCCACGTCTCCCCTTCTGGATCTCAGCCTCAGGAATCTCCTCTCAACCCAGACCGGACCACTCCTCCCTCTAACCAGTTCCCTCCTCTCCAGACCGTAAGTCCTCCGCACAAGTCCGATTCCTTGATCCCTCCGCAAATTGGATCTAACTCCGATCTGTCCACAGATTTCCCACACCAGCTTCCTTGTGCCAGAACTCGGCTACGTTTACGCTGCTTCCTTGGTTTCCCTTTAATAAATCCTTATTTAACCATTTTACACCGTCTCAGATCTGATTCTGTATGTCGTGGGTTAGATTTCTTCACCACAACATGACAATGTGAGAGTAAGAACATGAGCAGTGAATGCTTAGGCCTCATAAACAATATATGGTTTTTTTTTTATAACTGAAATCTTCAGCTGTGTTTAAAAATGTATAAATTTGAGCAAACTGAAGAATGTTCTTCTTCCAATTTTGATGCAGTGAACCCTCGCTCTACTGATGGGTGGTGGTTCTCTTCTGTTTTGACTACAGTGGTAAGAACTGTCTAATAACTAACAAATCTTCAGACAGGTCTATAGAATAGCACAGACAAGGCCTTAGATGACATTTGCCTGAGCAACATTTGGGTGTCTGAGAAATGAATGTTTGTATACAAAACCTCATCAGGGTATTATCTTTGTTAAATCTGGAAACACTTACTGGCATTTGAGGCGTATTCACCGATGAATCGTCTGGTCAAAAAACGCACAAGGACAGCTGAAGGAAACAGATGAAACTAACAATTAGATCAATCATAGCATTGTTATATTCTCATTTCTCACAGGTGGCAGCCATGACGGGAAAGACTCCCTTATTTACTCTCTCAGGCTCAACATGGTTCCAGCAAGTTGGGAATGCTGAAACCTTCTCAGTGGCCTCGTAGTCGAGTGTCCGCCCTGGGACTGGGAGATTGTGGGTTAAAATCCCGATCGGGTCATACCAAAGACTTGATACTGCTTGATACTCAGCATAAAGGGGTTGGATTGGTGGTTAAACCACCAAATGGTTCCCGAGCACAGCCACTGCTGCAGCTCACCATTCCCCATGGGGATGGGTCAAATGCGGAGATGTAAGGTCACCAGTGATGATGACTAATAGGACTTTGACTTACACTTACACATAAAGAGGCTACACGGCTTTGCTGGAAGATCTCTGCATAGCAAACTCAATGGTTACATTCACCATCACTACGTTTGCCCCTAGTGAGCTACACATTAATCTGACTGGACCAGTTCTGGTCCTGTTCTGGTTTAATTAGGGGATGGCGTTCCCCAGTGTCAAAATGTGATGAAGGCGGGCCTCCAGTGGGGATTATAGTTCAGTTACGAGGACATGAAACATGGATACTGTATGTGCATTAGGTTAAGCATGCATACACTTAGAGGAAAAACAAAGGACTTGCATCTCATGACACTTTAACTCAATGATTCCTGTGGCGCCACCAGAAAACAAAGACCAAAACAACACTTTCTGACAGCAACAAGTAGAGCATAAGCCATCATAAATGGGTGCAAGCATGCACAAACATACTGAGATGATTCACAGGAACAATCCTGATACACTGCCAGGCAGGGGGAACCTAGATGTTCTATTGTAAGTAAGTAAGTAAAAGTTTATTTATATAGCGCCTTTCACAGATATAAATCACAAAGCGCTGTAGGTGAATTCACAATATGGAGTCAGTCCACTTCAATCAGCATCACAGAAACTGAAAATCTAAAATCTGCAAAAAGATTCTCAGGATGTCAGTCTTAAACATGTTGAAATTTTATTATATTAGAATCATAAAAACTAAAACGTCCTGGAAAAATAAATTGGCAAGTTTAGAGCACAAAAAATCCTGAAAGAATGGGCTGAGTAATCCCAAACCTTCCATCCATACAGGTTTGTCAGGTTCTGTCTTATTAGACGGCACCGATGCCAATACTGCTGTCATACTGCTGAATTTCCCTCTGGGATTAATAAAGTATTTTTGAATTGAATTGATACAGACTCATTTAAAAACGCTGCAACTAAGTTAAGCGAGATGCAAACTGTAATTCCTAAAACACAAGAACTTGTTGCCTTTGCATTCATTGGTTTTGAAAGTCTGAAGGATTTGCAACCATTTAGTCACATAATGTTAGCATGCCTGAAGTTAACTAAACAGCCAAAAGATGTGTGTGTGTATATATATATATATATATATATATATATATATATATATATATATATAACCACGGGTCAGAACAAAACAACGCTGAGTTGCTTTTAGCTACTATGCTGCTCACATATAGAACCAGCTTCCACATGACCTCAGATCTGCCCCAATCCTTGTATCGTTTAAGTTGTCGTCGTCGTCTTCCTCAACTTATCCGGGTCGCGGGGGCAGCATCCCAACTAGGGAGCTCCAGACCGTCCTCTCCCTGGCCACCTCCACCAGCTCCTCCGGCAGGACCCCAAGGCGTTCCCGGACCAGATTGGAGATGTAACCTCTCCAACGTGTCCTCGGTCGACCCGGGGGCCTCCTGCCGGCAAGACATGCCCGAAACACCTCCCCAGGGAGGCGTCCAGGAGGCATCCTGACCAGATGCCCAAACCACCTCCACTGACTCCTTTCGATCCAGAGGAGCAGCGGTTCTACTCCGAGTCCCTCCCGAATGTCCGAGCTCCTCACCCTATCTCTAAGGCTGAGCACGGCCACCCTATGGAGGAAACTCATTTCGGCCGCTTGTATCCGCGATCTCGTTCTTTCGGTCATTACCCAAAGCTCATGACCATAGGTGAGGATTGGGACGTAGATCGACCGGTAAATCGAGAGCCTGGCTTTCTGGCTCAGCTCCCTCTTCACCACGACAGATCGGCTCAACGTCCGCAGCACTGCAGACGCCGAACCAACCTGCCTGTCGATCTCCCGATCCCTCCTACCCTCACTCGTGAACAACTCCGACCCAGAGTTGGCAAGCCACCCTTTTCCGGTCAAGAACCATGGTCTCAGATTTGGAGGTGCTGATCCTCATCCCAGCCGCTTCACACTCGGCTGCGAATCTACCCAGCAAGAGCTGAAGGTCAGAGCTGGATAAAGCTAGGAGGACCACATCATCCGCACAAAGCAGAGACGAGATTCTCCTGCCACCAAACTTGACACACTCCACACCACGGCTGCGCCTAGAAATTCTGTCCATAAAGGTAATGAACAGAACCGGTGACAAAGGGCAGCCCTGGCGGAGTCCAACCCTCACCGGGAACAGGTCCGACTTACTACCGGCTTTGCGGACCAAACTCACACTCCTCCGGTAAAGGGACTGAATGACCCTCAACAGAAAGCCACCCACCCCATACTCCTGGAGCGTCCCCCACAGGGTGCCCCTGGGGACACGGTCATAAGCCTTCTCTAAATCTACAAAACACATGTGGATTGGTTGGGCAAACTCCCATGCCCCCTCCATCACCCTTGCAAGGGTATAGAGCTGGTCCACAGTTCCACGGCCAGGACGAAAACCACATTGCTCCTCCTCAATCTGAGATTCAACTATCGATCGGACCCTCCTCTCCAGTACCTTGGAGTAGACCTTTCCAGGGAGGATGAGGAGTGTGATCCCCCTATAGTTAGAACACACCCTCAGGTCACCCTTCTTAAAGATGGGGACCACCACCCCGGTCTGCCACTCCACAGGAACTGCCCCCGATGACCACGCAATGTTGCAGAGATGTGTCAACCATGACAGCCCTACAACATCCATAGCCTTGAGATACCCAGGACGAATCTCACCCACCCCCGGGGCTCCGCCGCGGTGTAGTTGTTAGACTACCTCAGCAACTTCTGCCCCCAAGATTGGTCAGTCCACCCCCAGGTCTCCCGACTCTGGCTCCTCCTCGGAATGCGCATCGGTGGGATTGAGGAGCTCCTTAAACTATTCCTTCCACCGTCCGACTATAGCCTCAGTTGACGTCAGCAGCTCCCCATCCCCACTGCAAACAGTGTGAGCGAGTTACTGCCTCCTTCTCCTGAGGCGCCTGGCAGTTTGCCAGAACCTCTTTGGCGCCGATCGATAGTCCTTCTCCATGACCTCACCAAACTCTTCCCACACCCGAGATTTTCCCTCGGCAACTGCCACTGCTGCACCCCCCAGATATTCTGAACCGTTCTTTGTCTCACCCTACACCAAAGACCCATTTGTCATGGGAGACCCTTCCAGGGGCACAAAGTGCCCCAGACAACATAGCTCCTAGGATCATTAGGGCACTCAAACTCCTCCACCACGGTAAGGTGACGGTTCAAGGTGTTGTTTAAGACCAAACTAAAACCCTAATGTACTCATCAGCTTTTAAATGAATTGTCTCTTATGCTGCGTCATCTCCACTGTAATCTGCGCTGTAACTTTGTTTTCTCCTTTACCTCTAAACTGTAATTCTACCTGTGCATATTTTAATTTGTGTTTTTATGTTGTTTTCAAGTCATGTTCTGATAATTGTAAAGCCTCTCTGTAAAGTTGCCTCTGTGTTTGAAATGTGCTCTATAAATAAAGCTGCCTTGCCTATATGATGGTATGGGACTGGTGGCACCTGTAATCCCTCAGCCTCACCTCAGCTGTTGTTACATTGTAGCTCATCACGACCAGTGTGTGAATGTGTGTGTGAATGGATGAATGATACACTGAAGTGTAAAGCGCTTTGGAGTCCTCTGACTCTGAAAGGCGCTACACAAGTACAGTTCATTTATCATTTATATTCACCAATGAGGCTGCTGTAGTTAGTTAGAACCATGGAGTCAGGATTTGCATTTCCAGGAGTGGATTGCAGGTTTGCATGTCCATAGGGACCACTCCATAGGAGGGGTCATCTGGGTGACCTGGTGGCTTCATATGGTGGCTAATCTCCTATGGGGTCAACAAGGTCGCTGGTTTAAACTAGAGATGTTTGATATCATTCCGATATAGTCTCAGTTTTCATTTCCGATGCCGACATAAACCCTAACCAATACACGTGAGGTCCCCAACCCAATAAAAAAAGACGTACTAAATAATTTTTTGATTGTACGTATCTTACATATTTATTTAGTCCTGCTTGAACTTTAAACAATATCTGTGCAAAATATGACAAATAACAATATGAATTTAAGTTAAGCCAGTTGTGACGAACAAAACAATCTTAAAAACTTTACCTCAAATCTGTCCTTTCATATTTTAAGTGAAAGGAGAGTAGCTGGACAGTTTGATGTGTAACACCTGCATGGTGTGTAAATGCCATTAAAAGTAAAAAACTTAATTTCCATTTTGTCATGAAAACATCAGTCAATAATAATGGAAGGCCAATTTTATCGGCCTGACTTTGTTTAAACCTCTCAAAGATGACATCATCATGTTTGGGAATAGAGGACTTGCTAGAGCAGTGTAAATAAACGCCATCCGTACGGTGTGTGTGTGTGTTTCTGTCCAATCAGCTGGCTTCGTTATCTGAGGACGGTTCGACTAACCTAATTCTTTACTACTACACATGCTGCAGTCTGTCAGCACGGATCTGGACCTGATATAATAAGACCCTGTATCAATAAATTAATTGTTTTGATATCAGGGTAAGAAGTCATATTGCTACTCAACTTTTGTTCACAATTATAGATTATGCTGACATTGTTTATCAAAACAGCGCTGCTTCCTGTTTTCAGCATCTTTTAGTTTTATGTTGCCCGTTTAACACATCATTGTTTCTTGAATCAAAGTTTGTCTTGGCTTCCTCTAAAAGCCAAATGTAGGTTTCACTGGCTTATTTTTATTTTCAAATGTATCTTTTTTTGATTTCCTGGGATATTTAAAGATCTAATTAGTTCCTTTAGAATGTCAGTATGGAATGATCAACTCTCTTTTGTTGCACCTTTTTTCAAACGAGAATCAGGAAGAACTGCCTTTTGTGTCAAAGCCCCAGCAGAGTGGAATAGACTCCCTCCGCAGATATGACTGATTACTTCTGTTTGACGATTTAAAAATGATCTCTATTCACATATTGCATCTTCTTAAATGTTTTTGAATTTGGTACTTGATGTCACATAATCATGTTGTCAAAGCGAGGTGTTTGTTTATGTTATTTATTTGTGTTTTTTTTCATGTTCCACTGATAGTCTTGCTCTCTCTCATTGTTTCTGTGTTTCAAAGGAGGACCCCCTTGAAAACGAGATGATGCATCTCAAGCGGTTTCATCCTCTAGAAATATAAGTAAATAAATAAATAAATGATTTACATTTGTTGATTTGAAAAATGCTTTTGCGATGGCGTTGTTGTGAACTTGTACTTTATGAATAAATGAGTTTAGTTTACTTGAACCTGATGTCTTTCCAGATTCCCATTAAATATAAATGTTGTTGTTGTTTATTGTTTTGTTTTTTAAAATAGCCCTCTGCTGCTGGCTTGGTTGTCAACTGGCTCTCCGGGCAAGGTTAACCCCTTAAATTTCCAGGTTTAATGAACGCAATGGGATTTTGTCCCATAGGTGGGATGCTGGAATGTTAAGAAGTTAAATCAAACTGAACTAGATTATTTTCTATCAAATTCATTATTAATTGCTTGTTAATTAATCATTTTATTTAACGGTGGTAAGACTGGTTCCAAAATAGATCGCTGTCAAAATCTGGACAGACTGGAGCAGTTTCACTTTTGTTGTTTATCGTTAAAAAGGCAAAAACAATGAATGGCATCAGACATATGTACACAAGATGGTCTGAAAATGTCTGTTATCATCTTTGTGTGTGAAATTCTTCCTTTTGCAAAATTCCAAAAATTGCTAAATTTGGTCATTAAACCTTTTCTTTGGCTTTCTGATAAGCAGCTGTGAGGAATGAGGACGAATACAGACATCTAGGCAGATGGAGCGTTAGTCTAGTCCAAGCACAAAGCCACCGTTAGGGTTAATCTTTCATTCTCCATGTTTCTGTGAGCATGATGAAGTACGGGGGTATTAAATTCATCTCTCTCATATGGCTTCAGACAAACTAAAGTCTGCTGTCCAGTCACAGCGAAAAACACCTAGAATAAGGAGAAATGTACTTTTTACTTACAAGGTATTTGATTTTCTAAAAGTATCCAAGTTATCCAAAGAATTTGGAAGCAAGACTTTCGTCCGGCTAAAACAGGAGGAGAAAATACCAAGAAAACTCAAACCTGGGTCTCAAAATAAATTAAATTTAATAGCAGTTTATGGTTTAATCTTAGAAGTTATACATATTTGCATTTTATTTGTTGGTGTTTTACGTTTAGATTAATGTTTAAACGTAGCTTGATTTAGATTTGTTTTTTGACACTTTTGTGTGTTTGAAACAGCAGAAAAATAGGTAATTATCAAAATTAAAAATGATTGTTTTCAGAACTAAATGTCATATGGATTTAACTCCCAACTGAGTCCTGTAGGAACCCCGTGTAACACCAAAACCACGTTATCAGCTCAAAACAGTTTAGTTGTAGTTTAACTGCTTGAAAGTGAGCAGATTAGTAGACTAATAACCATGTTTTGAACAGACGTCTGTAATACCAGCTCTCACCTGATTTCCCAGCCCCCGGGCTCCCCAGAAGAGCCAGTTTGACGTCGTTCATGCCTCCGTCCTGTCAGCTGCTCAGCTGGCTGCAGCGTTGAGCTGCCTCTGGTATGCAGCCTCGCCCCTATGTAGTCCTCAGTCCAGGCGGGCAGGATGGTGGAGGTACACCTCCACAACCAAACACAACCACCTTCCCTTTTGAAAGCTAGAGCGAGCAGAGAGAGAGGGAGATACACACACAGTGTTCCAGGACCCCTTGTTCTGCCTCTCATGTCTGTTTTCTCTCTTTTCTCTCCCCAACCCTCACTCCTTGTCCCCACTTCTTTTTGTTGTACCCCCCTCCCTCCTACATAGGGGTTACTGAAAGGTCACCACTGACTACAGCTATTGTGCTGATCCTCTGCTGTAACTGCTGCTGTAGTTTAGGGAACGTTTGTAATACCCTTCATAGGTGGATGAAACATCCCTCACAATGACTTTTAGGAACCATCTGAACACTCTTCTGTGTAGAGATCGACATATATGAGTGTCACAGGGGCAGCAGCCAAATCATGGAGACCCAGACTTCCCTCTCCCCAGCCACTTGGGCCAGTTCCTCCGATGCCAGGGAATCCCATGGCGTTCCCTGGCTAGCCCAGAAACATCCCTCCAGTGTGTCCTGGGTCTTCCTTTAGGTCTCCTCCGAGTTGGACGTGTCCATTAAACCTCACCAGAGAGGTGTCCAGAAGGCGTCCAGACCAGATACCTGAGCCACCTCAACTGGCTCCTCTCGATGTGGAGCAGCAGCAGATCTACTTCGAGCCCCTCCCAAATGATTGAGCTTCTCACTCTATAGGGAGAGCCCAGCCACCCTGCAGAGAAAACTAATGTCAGTCGCTTGTATCATTCTTTCGGTCACTACTCATAGCTCATGACCATATGTTGAGGGCTGGAATGTACATCGACCGCTAAATCAATACCTTCGCCTTCCAGCTCAGCCTTCTCTTCACGATGATACTGGTACATACAGTACCGCAGACGCAGCACCAATCCGCCTCTCAGTGTTGCGCTCCATCTTTCCCTTACCAAGATTTAAACTTCTCTTGAGGCAGAACCTTCATCCTTGACCTGGAGAAGGCATTCTACCCTTTTTCGGCTCAAGACCATGGTTTCAAATTTAGAGGAGCTGATCTTCATGCAGGCTGCTTCACACTCAGCTGCAAACCGCTCCATGGTTGGAGATCACTGTCCGATGAAGCCAACAGAACCAGATCCTTTTGTTATGAGACATTTTGTCTAAATCACTGTTTATTTTTAAATATAAAAGGAAAGTAGTTGAAACTCTTTTTATTTTTGTTATTCATATAAAATTATTTTTCCAGTCACAAAAATATATAAATTATAGCTCCAAATTATAAACCAGTGTTTATTTTCTTCTCTGTTAATGTATATGACATGGTTGAAGGTAACACTGTTTCTTATGTTCATGTTTGAAAATAAAATCTTTAAATGCAACACATTTTTTTGCTCTTTATCTAACAAATAATGACTTTGCGTTAAAAGAGCTGTTTGAAATAGTCTAAAATCCGAAAAGAAAAAAAAAGTTGTTCTCAAAAGCTCACCATAGAGAAGCAGGTGGACACATGAAACAGAAAATATTTAATTTTATGTGAAATAAATTAATGAATAAATTTGACGTATTTGATTTTAAATGAAAAATTTCTGTTTGAGAGATTTGGACCCTAGGATTAGGCCAACACACAGAATGGAGCAATTATTGGCTTGGCTTGAAGTGAACTGGAACAGGCTGCATCTGTCTGGATGAAGCTTGGAGACGGTCTGGCATCAGAGCTGTGGCTGCAGGGAGCTGAAACCACAGGGAACTTAAGTGGAATCAGTCAGGGACTTGAATCATGAACATCATGGTATGAAAGCATTTTGTACTCTTAGCTTCACAAACAGAAGATCTGTCATGATTAAGAATTATTCCAGCCTTGGGGGTCGGGTCCTGACATGTATGCTGCCGGGAAGAAGGCAGGAACACGCAGCAGTGCCTGGCCCGGGTTTGGGGGCCTCAGGTAGACCTTGGCTCCTCTGCCGTTCCATCACAGGGGAGGTCCAGGAGGGGGAGGACCCAACCTTACCTGGATGTCCTATGTCTTTTATATTATGGAAGTTGTGCAAATGCAGGGATGGACATAGATATTCTGCTGGGGTGGGGCTGGGTTGGTGCCCTCGGACTCCGTGAGGCTCTGTAATGCTGCTGCTTTTGGCACTGGCAGGATGGGCTGGGGTCTCCATGCCCTGGGTGCCAGTTTGACAACAGAGGTACCTATTGGGGCCAGTGGGGGAGCTGGCTCCCTGGAGGGCTAAGCCCAACCCAGCCATTCCTCCCCATCTCCGCATGTTTCCCTCCTCCTGCTCCCTCACATCATCACACAAACATACACATAGGACCTTGGGGGGTGGGCAAGTCAGGGAGTGCGGGTATGGACCCCATTTCCGCATTCCTGTGGCAACCTGCCCCCCAATTTTATTTGTACCTTATACACTTCCACTGATGACATTCCACACAAACACACACTTAGGGCCTTGGGGGTGAGCACATTCAACGGCATTTGGCAGGGGGATTTCTCAGCCTCCTCCCGAGTGCTGGTGCCCACTTCCAATTTCAAACCGCACTTAGACACCGAGGGCTGAGGGTGTAAGTGGGGTGGTGCGGTGGCATCAGCTGGCATAGGCCGGATGATGCCCGCACTGCCCGCTCACCACAGCCATGGAATACACCTCATGATCACACAACACTATATTGGAGCAGGCGGAGGGAGACTAGGGGGTCTTAGCCACCTCTATTGTTGCTTGGCTTCCTGGGGCTGGAGGCTAGGAGGGAGATCTGGCCGTCTGGTTGGGGTCTGGGGTGGTGGGTTGCTGTGCTCAGCGTTGGGCGGGGGAGCCTGCTCATCAGCACCCCAGCAGAAAGGGTCAAACTCTGGTAACCGGTGATGGTTGTACCCCATGTGCAGCAGTACCGGGACCAGAGTGAATAGGGTGTGTATGGGGAGCATGAGTGGCTGTCCGGCGTGCATTTTTGTAAGTCTTTGGTTGTATGTGCATGTGTGAGCATGAGGGAGGGAGTGTGTGACTGTGTTTGTGTATGACTGTATATGTCAGGTGGGGCCTTTGACTCCTCCCCTCTCCTGGAACTTCTTTTGATGATATAGATCTTCGTCCCCCCTCTCCCTGCCACACCTGGTGTGGGGTGTGGTGCCTTGGTCTGCCTGAGTGTTCGTGGCTCCCGGGTCTGGGGGTTTAAGATTTTGGCATCTGCCTTATAGATCCCGGTGGCTGCCTGGTGGGGTCTGGGTCCCTGGGCTCTGCTGGGTCCCCGGCGGGGGTGGTCACCCCTGGGTCCCGGGTCGCTGAGTTCCCGGGCTCGGCCGGCTAAGGGGTGGGAGGCTGCGGGCGGGCCTGTGGGCTTGCCGCTGATGTCTCCCGGGAATCTGCCGGCTGCTGGTTGTGGCCCCCCGGGGCGATCCTCTGTGCCTCTTGAGGGGGGCGGGGGCCTTTCTGGTTGCAGTCTCCTTGGGGTTCCTGTGTTCTGGGGCAGCGCCTGGATCTCTGGGACTTGGAGCTCCCTCTGTCTCCTGCGCATCTTTGGGGGGTGGATCTGTGGTCCCTCACACTCTCTATTGGACGCTCCTATAGAGAAACCTTACATAAGCAAGCGCGTGTACACACACAGGTGCTCACATGGTGCTCTCAAAAATAAGGGCTTGGGCACGTTCAACACATGTCTTAAGACTATGGTGGGCACTTAATGCACTGTGATTTATTATCGTGTGATTGTTCAATTAAACAATGTTGATTATATATTTTTTCATCAAGTTGACGCAGTGATAGCTTGATCTTGTATTGTTGTTGTGTCCCTTTTTTTGTTCTTTTGCTTTTTTTTTGTCTTTTTCTGCAGGTCTAGAAGCAGACTCTTGTTCACTATTGTTTATTTTTGTGGACCCCCCCCCCCCCCCACACACACACACACACACACACACACACTCCTCCTCCTCTCTCCCCACCTTTTCTTTTCCTTTCTCTTTCACCTCTGTCTCTGTGTCTGGTCGGAATTACAAAGCATTCAAAAACAATAACAATAAAGTTTTAAGTATCAGGCGTGACATTAAAAGCAGACGCTTTGATGCTCCACCTGAGAGTAAATCTGTAAGGCTTGTTACCAGCATTCAGACATCAATTCTGCTTGCTTCACAGCCAGACAGGACACGGGAAAAAAAAAAGAATTATTCCAGCAAAGATACGAAAAAGTATTTCAACTTGGATGCAACAAACTGACCCAAATCAAGATGCCACCACCCCCATGTTTTATAGATGAGATGCAGATCCTAGATTGTACTGGAATGTTGTATTTTCCTTCAAGTAAACACATTTCTCAGTTAATCTGAAATGCTTTGGCAGAGTCTCAGATACTTCTGAATCTAAAATAGGCTGGTTGCAGATAAGAAACTGGTTATTGAGCAGGTGGTGGAAATCATTACACTGGATTTGGGTTTTAAATGAAGATTTTGTAAGCTGGTTCTGGTGGACGAGGTCCAGGAAGGTTTGTAGGGTAAACACAGACCAGAGGTCAACAAGGAATGTGCTAATTTTTCATTTATGGTCTGACTATCAGAGTTCAGGAGTTAGAGAAACAGAGAAGAGCCTCTGAGAAGATTTTCACTCCGATAATCCAACACAGAGACCATTATCCAGATATTTTCTTCCTCCAGAGCAATGTACAGTTTCTTTTATTGAGACTTACTTTTTACTTTTACTCAACAGTGTGAAGCATTTATCTGTACTTTCTACTCCACCATACATTTTCTAAAGGGTTTCAATAGTAAAAAAAAAAAAACAAAAAAAAACGTTTTTTTTCTCGATACAAACTTCTAACAAGTCCAGCAGTAAAGTCCCTGCAGCACCCGTCATCTTTTTGGTAGTAAATAGAATTGTTTCAGACCAGAAATTCATCCACTTCATTTTTAGTCTCCACACAAGATGAAACACGCCCAATGAATCACTCAGCTTTGACTCAGAAACGGCAGAAAACAAAATGAATATTCTTTGATTAAAGCTGCATTTGTGCTCCCCCTGCTCCTCTGAGAGTTTGGTCTGGGCGCAGAAGGTCTATTTTAAAACATCTTTATTTGATTTAGCTTCTTTTTGTTTGTAAACTCAGAAAATTTTATTTTACACTTAATTTTGAGGAGGTCTGTCACAACTTGGCAGCATAGTTCTTATGTTCTGCAGCATTACATGAAAGCAAACATGGCGTGTCTAAAGAGCAGATTAAAACTGATTTAAAACATCAACTTTTAGGATTCTTATTGGCCGAGTCTGTAGAGTCAGGCAGAAATTAAACATGGGTTTTGGCCGAAAAACTTTTGCACATGAAAGTTTTCCAAAATTCCTTCATAAAAGATGAATGGATTTTCATTTTCCTGCTTTTGGGATCAAATATTTGGATGTTTTAAAGCCATAACACTGAAATGGCTCATTGTTTGGGTACAAAGACGTACTTTTTGTAACGCATATAACCTAAAGACTTGAAAATGTAGCCAAAACACAGCAGTTAAACGTTTAAAGATGATATTTATTTAAAATGTGGGGGAAGGGAAGAGTAGAAAGTTCTGCTGTTAGGAAAACCGGAGACAGAGCAGCATGTGCTGTGATGACAGGGA